CCCGTGAGAACTCAAGGGGAACTCAGGCAGCAGGATACGCCCTATTCTCAGGAGGAATAATCTTAAACCTTAAACCTGGAACCTAAACTGGGAACGCCCTAAACACGATTATCTTAAACCAGGAACACCCTAATCCCGGATCCGCCCTGGTCCTTGAGCAAGGTCACCTACATTCAATGTCACTGCAACATGTCAGCAACATGGGGTACGCTGGCAAGGAAATTGTCATACCTACTTGGCTAATGGCTCCCAGCACCTGACCACCCTTCTCGGCTCTGTCCCTCTCAATATTCAGCACTACCTATTTTATTTTTATTTAGTCTATTATATTGTCTATTACCATCATCTATTATGTTTTTTACTTATTTTGTGGTTTGTGTCCCCTGGCAGAAATGCCAGGTTCAAGAATACAGAGGTTTATCTCTGTTTTGTTCACTTTGTATCCCTGGCCCTTAGAATGGTGCCTGGTGCCAGGAGCAGTGGCACATGCCTGTCATCCCAGCCACTCAGATCACATGTTCAAGGTCAGCCTCAGCAACTTAGTGAGACCCAGTCTCAAAATAAAGTAAAGAGGATTGGGGACGTAGCTCAGTGGTCGAGCACTTGCCTAGTATGTGCAAGGCCCTGGGTTCCATCCCTAGGACCACAACAAAACGAAACATGTTGGCATGTAGTAGATGCTCAGTAAATGTTTGCCAACTGGGAGAGGGAGCACTGGAACCCAGAGCCTCCAGCTGCTCATCCCACCCACATCTTCACCCCACCTCCTTCCTCCTCAGAGCTGCCCATCCCAGAGCCACCAACAAGGAGCCACCTCTCTGAGCTCTTCCCCGTGCCAGGTCCTGAGTCCGCTTTTCGCATTTGCTTCCGCCACAACCCAGGGGTTGGTCTATCGTGACCTTATAGATGAGGAAACTGAGGCTCAGAGGCACAGGGGCCTTATCCAAGGTCATGCAGATGGGAGCACAGAGGCTGAGCTCTACACCCAGTCTGGTCTGGCTCTGAAACCCCAGTGCGGTAGCCATGACATTGCCCATGGCGGTGTCCCCCTGGGCCTGGGGCAAGTCCCAGCTGTTCCCGTGGACAGGACACTTTCAGGCTCCTATGAGGGAGAGGTCACTCAGAAGGTGAGGGTGTCCCCAATGTTACCACTGAATGGCTTCTTCCCCCCAACCACACCCCAATTTGTGCTCCTGGTGTTGGCCAAACAGCTGTTCCATTCAGTCAGACCACAGATGCCTGTCCAGGAGGAACTGTGAGCTACAGTGGCCACCCACAGCTGCCAGGACCAACACCCTCTGCTCATTCTGGAAGTCACCTGTCTCCAGGAACTTTTGTGGCGGATACTATCAGCCTGGCCAGGAGGAGGGGACCTCTGCCCAGCTCTGCCCCAGGGCCTAGAAGATCTCTGCATGAGAGAGCGGGACCCCACCCTTCTCTCACCACCCGCCTCCCCCTCTGTCCTCCAGCCCCAGGACAAATCACCAAAGGGCTCTTCTACCAGTGATAGAAACCCAACAGGCTAAGAAAAGAGGAGTTTCTTTGACTCCTCTCATTGAAATTTCCAGAAGGCGCAGCTGGCTTTGCGTTAGGCCAGCTAAAGGGGCGTGGCTGCCACCAGATCTGGTTCCTCCAGCCTCTGGCCTTGGGGGTGCTGGCTTCACTGGTGGTGGCAACATGGTGACGAGATGGTGGCAGCAGCCCCAAGTTCCGTATCTACCAGGGCTCCCCTTCCATGGGAAGGAAGCAGAGGTCTGAGGGCCACTGTGTTGATTCTGCCTGGACCCTCAACAGTCCCCAGGGAAGGCCACACACTGGTGGCTCACAGCTAGGGTGGAGCCCACCTTGTGCCCGAGAAAACTGGGTACTACTATTAGAAAAGTAGGCAGGCACCGCGCAGGGTGGGCAACAGACGCCAGGCCCTTCAGAGGGGCCCTCCTGCCCTCTCCAGGACGGCCGTGGTGTCCTCCGTGGGCCAGTCTCCCGAGGCCCCACCCCTGGCCACCTAGGATTCCTCTGGCCATTTCACCGCCGGGAAAGCCAGGCCCAGGCAGAAGGCTTTGTGTGCAGGTTGGCTGAGCTGGGAGCAGCCTGGCATCGGCCGTGGGGGGAGGAGCCAGGGCGGCCGGTGCCTCCTGGGTCACTTGGACGCTCACCACAGCTTTGTGCAGGCAGGAGGCCGAGGCCCCATCCCTGCCCCCCGAGTCAACAAGGGAGCAGCTGGGCAGGAAGCTCTCTCCTGGAATCGAGCTCAGGGCTGGGCTCAGGCCAGCAGCTCCCTTGGAGATGGTGGGCTCCACCCGTGAGCTCTCAGCTCTGGGAAAAATAGAAATCAAAGGTGCCGCCTCCTGGCACCCATCCCCTCCCACCACCGCGGGGCCGACCTTCCTTGGGGAGACTCCCTGCTGCTCGTCCTGCTTTCAGGGCCGAGCTAACCCACCCAGCCCTCCTTCAGGCCACCCTGATTGGTCTGGAGGTGGACATTCCACGCACACTGACCCATGAGCTGGAGGAGGGTTGGCCAGCTGCTGTGAGGTCCTGGCCCTCCCTCCAGAAGTACCTGGAGGCTCTCTGCCCGGACCTTGTGGGGCGAGGATGTGAAGTTTAAGATGGTCAAGGCCATCTGGGGCCATGTGGGAAGAGCTGCGGGGACCTGGGGGGGCTGGCCCTTGGGGTGGGTCTACAAGGTGCTGAGGCTTGGGTCCCGGCTGCTTTGAACCCCAGCCAGAGCGAAGAGGGTGTTCAGGGGACTGTCGCCACCTCTGTGAGCTCAGACACCCCACAGCCCAGCAGGGACTAGGAATCCCATAAGTGCTAACCCCACAGGCCTCTCCTAACTCAGCCAAGCATGCTGGGCGAGCTTGCTGCCATTGCCACCGCGCTGTGGCCAGGACATGTTACGCATCCTTCGACTGCTCCCCCGTCCCAGTCTCTGAGCCTCATTTCCTTACTCTTAAGGGCACTACCTCCTGGGATGTGGTGGGGACTAGCTGCGCAGTCCCTGTCAGGCACGCTGTAGGCTCACAGTAACTGCCCGCCACTGTCCTCCTCAGCCTCCTTTCCCTCTGGGAGCCGTCTCCTGGGCCGTCAAATGGCGGTTCATTCATCGGTGGAGTTGTGGTCAGGACCTAGGACAGTTACCGAGGTGAAAGAGCCAGGGACTCTGCCTGGAGGGACCAGTCTTTTGGCAGGTGGTCAAGAGTTGCACCCACAGGGGTGAAGCCACGGTGCCCGTGAGGTCTGCTGGCAGAGTGGGCTGTCACCTCAGAGCTGGGTCAACTGAGGGGAGGGTGGCAGCGGACTCTGCCCCTGCTCCTTCTAGTATCTGCAGTTGGCATGAAGCCATTTAGGGGGGACTCCAGTCGTTGACCAGATCCAGACAGAAAGGGGAAGACAGACCATCAGGAAGCCCACGGTGTAGGGCAGAAAGATCAAAGTTAAGGGTCAGGGAAGAATGAAGCAAATTGCATCACAAGCATTGGAATATCTTAATCTAAGAAATTTAATTTAAACTATATATAAATCTAATCCCCCCGTATCTCCCCATTCACAGTATAGATGAGGCACAGGGCACGGGCAGGTGCACTTGGGGTAGGCTTCCTCTGCCTCCTCTGTCTACACAGTCGGTGGAGGAACACAGCCTACGGCCAGCACCAGGAGTCCCTAATCCTGATTCTTTAAATATACGGATCTTTTTGGAAAAGGACTGAAATGTTTGTTTTAATGGGGTTGCATCTGCTACGGGTAGCCAAATTGTACTGCCACCTGGTGGCAGCATACCAAAGTCACAGGTTTCTTTTCTGTTAGGATGAACAAAACTTTGCAAACAAGACTTTTGGACCCCACTGAAGATACCGAAGTCATTGCCCCCCATCTCCCCATCTCTCCACCCCTTTGATAAAACCCACTTGCTTAGTGGAAGCTCACAACTCCCAAGTTCTCAGCCTTTCTATCCCGAGCCCCGCTTTCTCCAGGTGCCAGTAGACCAGCCATCCTGGCCACCTCCCTCCTTCCCGCCCTTTGCCCTCTCTGGAGAGCCTCAGGCCCACTCAGGTCCCCAGCTCAACTGTGAGCTAGGCCCCGAGGGCAAGGTAGGACGGGCAGGGAGAGAACCCTTCAGGGGTGGGTTAAGCACACAGATTCTACCCCCTGACTGACAGTGGGTTTGAATCCTGGTGGACACTCACCGGCTCTGGGTTTCAGGGCCTCTCTAAGGCCTCTGAGCCTCAGTTTCCACATCTGAAGAGTAGGGTGGAATCTGGATTCAAAACGAGATTTCCTGTCTTTCCATACGTGTCTGCCTACTGTTCTTTCCACAAGAGCTGGAATCAATGGGGACGGGGACACCGTGGGCAGGGGGCTGGGCAGGGGCCCCGGGGGTAGAGCGCCCAGCACCCGGCTGCAGCCCCGCTGCCTGGAGCTCCCTCATGTCTCCTGCCCAGCCTCTCGCCCTTCCCCCTCCCCCTGGCTCCCTCTTCCACATTCCTCAGAACCTGGTCCCCAAACCCCAGATGATCTTGAAACCCACTTAGCACAAGGGACCATGACTGAGCAGACGTCCATTCCACCCATGGGACATTGGCATCACAAGCCCCTGCCCAGAGTGGGTGATGTAAGTCCCTCAAAAGGGTCTTAAAGGTAGTGTCCCAGGCTCAAGGGAAGGGGGGCATCTTGCAGCTGGGTGTCCCCAACCTTGGCAACCACCAGAGCTTCCCTGAAGCCTGGGAAACCAGCTTCCAGCCCACGCTCTCGCTGTCTGGACCTTGCTGTGTGGCCTCGGACAAATCGCTCACTCTCCCTGTGCCTTGAATTCCCCTCTCAAAGAGAGCTCTCCTGCCTAGGTAGCTCTGACGACGAGGCTGCTGGCTGCTGAGGGCGTGGGCAGGGGTGGGCAGGGGCGGGCAGGGGCTGGCAGGGTGGCAGGTCCCCTCCCTGCCCCTGCCTCCTCAGGGAACCCGCCCCAGGGACGTGGACTCCAGGGGACCCGTGAGGCTCCCCACACTCCCGTGGGCAGCGGTAGTAAGTGCGGTATTAATTATTACCATCTCCCCCGGGGAAGCAGATTCAAAGTGAGGTCACCATGGAAACCCAGACGTGGCAATGTGACCAAATTTTTAAAGTGCTGAACATGTTCCAGGCAAATTATATCTTGGAGGAAAAGAAAAGAATGGGGCCTCGGTTCTCCTCCTTGGTGGCCTCAGGAAGAAAAGCCCAGGAGCCCCCGTGGGGCCTGGAACGTTTCTACAAAAAACAGGGAGGCTAGAGCAGGGGTGGAAGATGGGCGCCCCTGCTTAAGGGACCAGAGCAGAGCTGGAAAGGACAGCGGGATACCCTGAGCAAGTTTGGATGGCTGGCCAGAGAATCCAAGGCCCCGGGTTCTAGTACTAGCTATGGTGTCAGCTTGCTCTGAAGTCCCAGGCTGGTGCCTTGCCCTCTCTGGGCCGAAAAAAAAAAAAAGCCTCCCAGCAGTATTTCTTAAAGGACCAGAGAAATGAGCTACTGGGTGGTCAAACTCACATACGGTGGTGGTGGGGATAAGCGGAAAAGTGGAAGGCCAGCGGGTTTTGTTCCTCAGGCCTCCAAGGCAGAGAGACCGCGATTCAAATCCTACTTCTGCTACCCAGAAGCTGTGTCACCTGGGGCCAGTGACTTCACCCCTCTGAGCAATGACTTCCTTACCCCTAAGAGGCAGCTCAGCCAGATGCGGTGGCACAGGCCTGTAACCACCTAGGAGGCTGAGACAGAGGATCACACGTTCAAGGCCAGCCAGCCTCAGCAACTTAGCTAGGCCCTGAGAAACTTAGCGAGACCCAGTCTCAAAATAAACAGTGAGGGCGCTGGGGCTGCGCTCAGCGGAGAGCGCTCGCCTGGCCTGTGCGAGGCCCTGGGCTGGCTCCTCAGCGCTACTAAAAATAAACAAATAAAATAAAGCCAGTCTGTCCATCCACAACAAAAATATTTTTTCTTTTAAATGAAAAGGGCCGGGGGATGTGGCTCAGTGGTAAAGTGCCCGGCTTACAGCCCCAGCTCCAAAAAAAGAAAAGAAAACAGGGCTCATGGTGGCACCACGGGGGTGTTTGGGGGCATTTACTTATTCTCAGTGCTGGGGTCTGAGGCTGCGCTCCCGCTGGGACCGTGAGCATGGACACACACCCAGCTGTGGGTTCCAACAAGGTGACCCCAGGAGGGGCTCCACACGGTGCCCTGCGCACAGGGGTGTTAGTGTCACCATCACCGTGCTCATGAGTAGGGACCCCACGCACCAGGCTCTAAACGCCATCCACCCCCACATCCTTGCAGGTCCCTCCTGAGCGACGGGGCCACGGCTCACCCTCTTTTAAGGATGTGGAAACTGAAGGGAGCAGCTGCGGAGGCTCACGAGGTACAGGGTGCGGGGAGTGTATCTCCTCGGAACCCAGCCCTGGCCATCATCACACATCCTGAGGAGGACACAAGGCGCGGGCTAGGGCCCAGCACAAGTGTTGTGGCCCAGTGAACAACTCAGGGCCAGGTATGATGGCACGTGCCTGTAATCCCAGCCCCCTGGGAGGCTGAGGCAGGAGGCTTGCAAGTTGGAGGCCAGCCTCAGCAACTTGAAAGACCCTGTCTCAAAAAATAAAAGGGGCTGGGAAGGTAGCTCAGTGGCAGGGAGCTCGGCTAGCATGTGTGAGGCCCTGGTTGTAATGCCCAGTATCACAAAAACAAATAAATAAAAAGTAAAAATAGCAGGTGCCCATCAGCCTCTGTTCACCGCTGGCCCCTTTCTTCTGGGACTCAGGTGAGCTCAGGGCATCCACGGCTCAGGTGCTGACGGACATGAGAAGCAGAAAGCCCAGGGCAGGGGCCGCTTCTCAGGCCGCTGCCCAAAGGGGTCACTCTGGCCTTGCCGAATGATCTGGTGGCCCTGGGGCGCTGGCTGCGGTCACACTGTGGGGACCCAGACCTCTAGGAGCTGCACCTGAACTCAGCCAACCCTCCCTGCTCTCAGGCCTTCCTTATCTCCCGCCCGTCCCTTCCTGCTGGGTCAGCCACCCATCCCATGCTACCCGCAGCCAGCCCCAGGCAGGACTGGCTTTCCCGGGACAGAATGAGGTCAGACCTGCCGGGTGATGGATGGACTTAATAACCAGCCTTCCCTACCACCAGCCCATTTGTCCTCCATTGTCCCAGGTCCATGAGGAGCCAGAGTCATCCCCACCAGTCGGAAGAGCAGGAGAGGAGTGGAGGCCACCATCCTAGCCATCTCAGGGCTCTCGAGGACCCCGGAGCAGCCCAGACAAAGACCTGGACCGGGGACAGTCAGGCTGTGATCTTCCGCCTCAGCAGCCCCGCGAGCCGTCTCAGCCTCGTCTCTGTGTGTGCACTGGAGGGGACGATGGCTGCTGGTGCCTCCGGGGTCACTGAGGGACTGAGCAGCAGCAGACGTGACCTCACCTGCAGGCAGCAGAGATGACTCAATCTTGGCTGCTTTTGCCTGGATTTCCCCCCCCCCCACCTCCCCAGGGTGAGGAGAGAGCAAACAGTTCCCTGGGGCGGCCATCGAGGTGGGGAGGTGAGGCAGGGCCGAAGGAAGCCATTTCTGGGTGTGCTGGTCACGGGGTACAGTGAGACCGCTGGCCTCATCCCGCCAGAGAACCCAGGCCCAGGGTGGAAGGGGTCTTAGATTTGTCTTCACGCAGGCCGTGAAGGCTGGGCCCTGGATCCTGCGATCTCCATCCTCTTCCCGCCCTTCCAGCCTTCTCTGTGGGGCTGAGCCTGGCCCACAGAGGGTCCCAGTGGCTCAGAGCAGGAGTCCGTCATGTGCCCTGGAACCTCACCACGAGGGCTCCCATCCATGCTCACGTCAGGGGAGGGACTCTTACAGCCCATTTTACAGATCAGGAATCTGAGGCTCAGGAAGGCGAGGTTCACTGGCTAAGGCTACACAGCTCAGAGAGGCAGATAAAGACTAGAAACAACTCTAGGGTCTTTGATTTTTTTCCGAGATAGGCAGGACTTGACTTATTGTCGTGTGGGGTACAACCAGTAGCGTACTAAAACGATGTTCAACAAGGGGAGAAAAGAAGCCTGACTTATACATTTGCCAGTTACCATGGTGTAAATAACACTCCCTGGCCAATTTTAAGCTGCCACAGCGAAGTCACTGAGCACAGAGTTGGAAAAAATGGTCGGTTCCCGTGAGCTGGTATGAAGCATGACTCATACCAGAGCTCCAGAGCATGATGGGCTGGGACTTTTTTAATCTCAACTCCTACCTAGCCACATGGCCCACAGCGCCAATCAGACTGAATTTTCTCTCTAGGGTAAATTTCTCTATATGTTAGTCAGTTTTGTGTCACTGTGACAAAATACCTGAGATAAACAACTTCAAAAAGAGGAAAGGTTTAGCTTGGCTTAAAGTTCCAGTCCATAGTCCCTTGGCCCTGTTGCTTTGGGCCTGTGGTGAGACAGAACTTTGTGGTGGGGGTGTGCATGCAGCCAGGAAGCAGAGAGAGGAGGAAGCCAAAGTCCCAATGCCCCCTTCAAGGGCACACTTCCCAATGACCCAACCTCCTTCAACCAGGCTCCATCTCCTAAAGCTTCCAGTACCTCCCAACAGCACCACACACAGGTGACCAAGCCTTCAACACATGAGCCTTTGGGGACAGTTTAAGACCCAAAAC